GAGACTTTTCTTCTTCTAACGAGGCCACAGTCCCATCTTTCAAACTGAGCTCGTTCTCCTTTTCTTTTAGCTCTACAGCGTTGCTCCGATAACTTTCCTCTGCTACATGAAGCTGACAAGCGCCCGCCCCAAGCATGCCTTGGCGTAGTTGAATTTTTGATCGCCGGGCAGGGAGGCGACTACGACGTGAGTCTTTGAGTCCCACGACATCAGAGGGACCTTTTCCGCTTCAACTGCCTCTTCAAAAAACTGATGATGATTGGGCAGCTTAGGCTCGTTGACCGTTTGGAACATAGAAAACCACGGCTCAAACACGTCCTCCAGCAACTTTAAGTCTGCAGCTTTCTTTTCGTTAACCTTTAAAAAAGAAGGCCTCAAAACAATCTCAGGCTCTTCTTCTTCATCCTTGCCCGAGCCAACATCTTGCTTCTTTTGGGCCCTCTCCTCCTCATGGGCCACACCTCGTCTTTTGCTACGACGACCCACCAATCTGGCAGCAGGCTCTTCAGGCGCCTCTTGTGAGACCTCGGTCTGAGTGATTGGCTCGTTTACCGGAATCATCTCCAATGTCTGCCGCCCAGGCTCCTTGATAATAACCGCTACGGTTATCGGTTGGCTCTCCACAACTGGGTTGCTCACAATGGCCCGGATGGGTTCATCCCTAGTCGTTGATGGCTCGTCGGCGGAGCTCCGAGAACTAGTTGGATTCTTCTTCCACGCTTGTTCATGCGTCCCGCCATCTCTGTTGATCGTAAATTTTTTCCCTTGCCAACTTTATTTTTCAAGTAAAAGTTAGGATTGTGCCTCCGATATTCTTCTGCCTCTATTGGGTTCCGAAAACCGAAATAGCCAAGCAGCGGATAATAAACTACACAACAGATAATCTCAAGTTAATGAACTGCTGATCAAAGTAAAGAGTGAAGACAAAATGAAACCTCTATACCTGGCTGAAATGAGGAATCCAACACTCCCGGTGATAAACCCGCAAGTTCTAACCGAGAATCTTTCACAAGTCGTTGATATCTCCGCTTGTACGGAGAAAAGTCAAAAAGCTTATCCACACGGTTATATAGCTCGCCTTCGAACCGCGGCTCCTTGTTTCTTTGTGGTTTGGCTATAAAGGTTAAAAACGTCCACCTGTTAGCGCAAACAGAAAAAGATAATCAATATCCTCGAACGAATGGAAAAAATAAATAAAACTTACGATAAGCCGATTTAATAGCCGTTGGGATGGTCATCCCATTGGACAACAAATCAGAAGAGAAATCAGCGCACTGCCAATCTCCCCAACCCATAGCCACTCCTCCTGGAAACCATGAAGGGTATCGGGAATTTCTGTAATCAATTCACCAACTTTGACTCTCGGCTGAGGTTTACCGGAGATAGAAAAAGTAACAAGCGGATCCGACACCTGCCTATCCAGATTTTTCCGAAACGTAAACATGCTTCGCATGTCACTTGCTGAGGGAAAATCCCACTTCTTCTCGGCAAGGAGAACCAACAAGCCCATAACACGTTTCCAAGTGTTTATTTGACACAGGCTCAACTCCCAGTTCCGCAGGTACTCGGTAATTAACCGGGGTAAAGGAAATCGCAGACCTGATCTCAGGCTCTCGGCAAAAACACCCATACATCCTGGTGGGGGACATATGATTCTTTTCCCAGAGTATGGAGCAAATAATCTTACCGAATGAGGAACCCTAATGTCTTTCCTCAATATTACGATGTCGGCATCGGTCACGCCTCCCCATGGAAACCAATTGTGGGGTCCGACCATTTCCTAATAGGCCGCCTCCAGTATTCAGATTGATCTACGGCATTTTCCTCCACCCTCTTATCTCCCTCGCTACCATTCAACTGAATATTTAAATGCTCAATAAAGGCCGGATCCCACCGATGATACTCAGCCAGTAACTCCATTTCTCCGGAGTGAACCATGTTAATCATCATGACGTCTAGCTCGTTGTCACTTGATGATGCCAACGACACACTCATAGCTTCGCAAATTCGAGATATATTAATCGAATAAAAATAAATTTGAAGAGATGATTCTTACCACGTGAAGAAACCGTGAATCCGAGCGGAGTACTATGTAGAATTGAATGGTAAGTGAGTGAATTGAAGAAAACAAAGAATTGAGAAGCCAAATTGCAAGGAAATTAAGAGTAAACTGACTTTGAAAGGCGAACTGCTATTTATACTTTGCTCTAAAAGTGACCGTTAAGAGAAGGAAAGAGGGGCGCGTGGACTTCACTTCTCATTTCCGCGATTAAATGCGTCCTTTGGGGCGTGCGCCCGTCATTAATGGCTACGTGGCCTATAGAATTTAATTGTTATCGTGTCAGCAACCGTTGCAATAAATAAAAGAAATTCGCGCCGCTTCAGCTTCAAATTCCTCCCTCATACCTTAAGTATTGAGACGTCGGATCACCATAGTAAGAAACCGACGTCTCTGGCTCGAATAGAATGAAGTTTTGATGGCATTTCACAGCATCAATATCCGTTCTTCCTCAAAACGCCTATTAATGCTGGGGGCCACCTTGTTGACATCATTTTCGGTAAACCAGATTATCTAGGAGTGTTAAGGTAAAACTACTCAAGCTCGAAGATCCCAAGTGCTTTCTCGTCGGACACAACATACTGAAAACTGACGTCATTACTTAGCAAGTAGACAGTAAAGTAACTACCTTTGTCTCTCTTACCGAGGTCTCTCATCGATCAAGACCTAGCCAACCGACGTCCACAAAAAGACAAATACCGACATCAAAAGGCGGTGACAGCTCAGCCTATCATCATGACTGACATCCAGGTGGCGAATGATCAATCCAAGTGACAAATGACCGCCTTTGACTTCGCCTCCGCATTAAATGCGATCACACCAACCTCCTACGGTGGGTCACCGCTCTATAAATAGCAGATTCGACCCTCAAAAGAGGGACTTTTGACCTTTTGACCTTTTGACCTTCATAAATGTTATAAGGCAATATCGATCCAATACTATGAATGTTCAATAAATACAGACGTCGCCTATACATGAAACCGATGTCTTTTCTATTTACTACATATTAAATTTCATGCTGTTCGGTTAATCAATCCCAAATAATATCGTTGTTAATCACCATATGACAACAAAAACGGTTCAGAATCGGGACAAAAAGGGAAAAAAAGTTCAAACTTCAAACATATTCACGGTTTCACTTAAAAAATGTTTTGATCCCATACCAACTAATTAAATTGCAATCTAAGTATCCAAAAACAAGAAAAGCTACTGATATCGTGGTCAACAGCATCCAGCCTGCCCTGTCCACATTGAAATTTTGTGACCATGATAACACAATATTTTAAATGCAGGCGTGGCTATCGAGGCTTACGTGTTTGGTGTTCCTTTGGGTCTGATTTTGGGGTATCCGCTGGACATGGGTGTTAGAGTAAGTTTCTGCATTTTTATTTTCAAATTGCAATATTATGTACATATCCTGCGGAGGATATTGAGGTTGTTGGTATTGTGTTTTACTATTTTTCTGGGTATATGGTACGGGATGGTATCAGGAACAGTTGCACAAACTCTCATACTCTTTTGGATTGTGTATAAAGTTAACGGGACGGTTCGGGAAAAAATATTAAAAACCGATACCGACATTGTTTCAACCGGTTCGGTCAGGAACGGTACGAAAATTTTAAAAACCGATTTGGAACCCTATTTTTCGGAACGGGACCATTTCAGTCGGGAACTAGAAATCCAATTTTTTTGCCCACCCCTAGCTTGCTCTAGATAGTTGTAATTTAGCCATGTTGGCTCTTCAGCGGGAATGATTTATCATTTCTCCGTGTGATCACCTCTCTTTCAGTTTGTAAGAGTCGGAGTCTTCGGTTATGTTGAACAATGCTTTATACGTTTGAGTTTTCATGAATTTGTTTTCGTTTGAAAAAAAAAAAAAAAAAAAAAAAAAAAAAAAAAAAAAAAAAAAAACTATACAACCTTTCTGAGCAGCTTGTCATGGGTCCATTAACAAGTCAGTTGAAGAGCTACGAATCGAATATCAACAAACCCAAGTTCTTTTTTTTTCGAAACGAAGAATATAATAATTAAGGATAAAACAAAGTACAGGGGTACATAGCCCGCGACTACACAAACAGCAGTACAAACAAGAACACACTGCAAAACGCATAAACTAAAAACACACAAAGAAACTGGAGACCAAAACAGAGCTAGTCTAGATGGGAAATAGGGACTAATTAGCTGGTCTGAAGCGCAGTATAGTATACTGAGGCCCGAAGACTTGCTAAAGTCAAAACAATGAAAATCTAGCAACTGTAAGATACCTTGCTAGCAAAACAAAATCTCAACAATACTAAGCAGCACCTAAACAAAGGAAAATTCAATCCATTCATAGCAGGCTCCATCAACCAACGCCTTCTCTGAAATCCACTGTTTTTTGAACACACAATGGTTTCTCGCTTTCCATAACCACCATTGCATATAGTATACTAAGCAGCAAATCCAAGTTTGATTCATCTATTTTAGTGAGGGTTGTAAATGAGCCTGGACTTTTATAGAGTGATTTCCCAATAGTTCGGGAACCACTTGGTAGTCTCGGTTCATTTACAGCGCTTAGGTTCAATAAAAATTGTAGCTAATTTAACATGTATATATGAGGCTCAAAAGAGTCCTAACATGCCTTAGCACTATTGTTTGGTTTATTAAGGAAAAAAAAAAAAAAAAAAAAA